CTCTCTCTCTCCCCCTCTCTCTTCTCTTTCTCTCTTTTCTCCTCTGTTGCACTGCTGCCATAAAGATCTCTTGGTTGCTCTGAGGCTCTGAGTGTTGTGGTCACTTTCCTTTTAATCTCCATACTGCTTTCCAGAGTGATTGCACCAATTTGCAGTCCCTCCAGCAATGTAGGAGTGTTCCCTTTTCCCCACATCCTCACCAACATTTATTGTTATTTGTATTCTTGATAGTTGCCATTCTGACTAGAGTAAGATGAAAACTCAATATAGTTTTAATTTGCATTTCTCTAATTGCTGGAAATATTGAACATTTTTCATATATTCATTGACCAGTTGTATTTCTACTTTTGAAAAGGGTCTGTTCAGTTCCTTTGTCCATGTATTGATTTGGTGACTTTGTTTTTGTTTGCTTGTTTGTTTGTTTTTTGTTGGTGTTAAGCTTTTTGATCTTTGTATATCCTGGAAATTAACACCCTATCTGAGGTGCAGGTAGCAAATATTTTCTCCCATTCTGAAGGCTGTCTCATCATATTCTTGATTATTTCCTTTGCTGTGAAGAAGCTTTTTAGTTTGATGCCATCCCATTAATTGATTTTTAATTTTATTTCTTGTGCTTTAGGAGTCTTTTTACGAAAGTTCATAACTGAGCCAATATGTTGAAGTTCTGGACCTACATTTTCTTCTAGCAAGTGCATGATTTCTGGTCTAATTCGTAGGTCTTTGATCCACTTAGAGTTGATTCTTGTGCAGGGTGAGAGATAAGAGTGAACTCTGACTCTATTACATATGGATTTCCAATTTCCCCAACACCATTTGTTGAAGAGACTATCTTTTCTCTAATACATGTTTATAGGGTCTTTGTCTAGCATGAGGTGACTTACTTATGTGGGTTTGTCTCTGTGTCTTCTATTCCGTTCCATTGGTCTTCTTGCCTATTTTGGTCAATGCCATGCTATTTTTGTTATTATAGCTTAAATCATTTTTTCTGACCCAAAAGAACACATGAAAATAGTGTGACTCTTTTTTTTTTTTTGTTCCATCTTGTATGTTTGCTACTTACCGGCTGTCCTGGCTGACCAACTCCAATGGGTCCTGGAGCTCCTGTTCTTCCTTCTTGACCTCTTTCTCCCTGTAAAAGTACAGTGGGCACTTTAAAATAAAACATAGCATAAAATAAGCTGGAGATTTCAACAAGGATAAATACAAAATAGCCAAACTTTTAATATCCATAAACATGTTTAAAATCTAGAGAGAGAAAAATGAATTTAATTTGAATTTAAGTAAATTTAAGTAAACAAATTACCCTCAAATGTTTATCATCTCTTCTTTAAATGCAATACAGCACTTTTCTCTTTCACAATCTATCCCATAGTAATGGTAAGATGAATGGCTTGGCAATTCATTTTGGACACCAACGGGACAAACTAATGATATTTGTGCTATTCCTGGCCATGATCCTGGAATGTATTCGTCCCTTGTCCCTACTCTGTCCCTTCCCCCTCTCCCTTAAACTCTGTTTCATACTTGATCTCCTGTAGAATGCTTCTCCAATAACTCTACCCATAGAAACCCTGCTTTCCCTGGAGTCTCAATGTACTTATTGTTGAAATGTTACCTATGCTGACACTTGATTACATTCAGAGTACAGTTTTAGTGCTGCATCAAAGTCTTATTTTAATACTGCATCAAGGCCTTATTGTCCCAAACACATTTAAAATAAGCACTTCCACTCCATTCTATCCAGTATGGTACAGAGCATCCCAGGAGGGCTGTTTCTCACTTTCTATTTCCCTGCAAACCTTTCTGTCAACAATTATTTATTCAGTGTCCTAGTTTCTCTGGTTCCTGTCCATCTATGCTTATTTAATGTGAGCAAGTAGTAGTTGATGTGTTAAGATATTTCACTTCGCAATAACATATTTGTATGTTAATGTTTAAAGTGTGGAAACTCAAAAGGGCTACACATATTTTATGAGTGAGTGGATATTTAGAGATAAGCAAATTTTTCATTTCAATCAAAATATGATTAATTGATTATTTTTGTGACAACTGCCCCTGGTCAGAGCATGGCCGTGTCCAAGGATGCAAATGTCAGTAACTTCTGCAGGGAATCTCCTCATGTTATTACTACGATTAGGCTGAATTGGGTTCAAATCACACTCCCCCAGGTTTTACAATAAATTCAATAGTCATCAATAGACAAAGAAACAATCATCCTTACCTTAATACCCTGTTGTCCAATACCAGGGGCTCCTGGAGGACCATACGGGCCAGGAGGACCTGGCTCACCCTGCAGGGAGAGAGAGTGCTATGTTAGGTCAACTTAGTAGTAGTCATTGAGCAGCTCTGAGATGTATAGTGCTGTGATAGGGCTTTGGGGCTTACAGTGGAACCTAGGATACAGCCTCTGCCCTCAATCATCTAAAATCCATTTGGAAAGACAACAGAGTACCAGAGTTGAATTACCTACTAGGCTCAATGGGCACAGTCTCTAGGGCCCACAAACTTATAGGAACCTGTGAACATGTTTCCATTTTAATTTTTTAAATTATTATAAAAATCAACATCATAATAATGAATATGTAATAATGAATTAAGCCTGAGTTATATTTATCTTTATATTAACTCAGCCATACATTTCAAAATATTTTTTCCTCGATGAAGTGATCCTCTAAGGCAAACGTTTTTAGGAAATATGAAAGCCGCAGTGTAGCCCTCACTCATTCATTAATATTTTTGTTCGGCGCTTTGGCAGACTCCAAAGGCTACCCTCTCTCCCTGTCTCCTGCCTGCTGGTAGAACCCTGATCTGCTCATGACAAGGGCAGCTGCTCTTTGCTCTCACAGGTATGGGATGAATGATAAGTAATCTAACTCAAGCCTGGGATCCCCTTTCCTATTGCTACCCATTAGTCTAGGTTGATCATGTGACTCAGTTCTGATAAATGAGATGGGAGGGACCTTGTTGGATGTAAAGGAAAAACCTTTTGCCTCTGTCTTTTCTTTCCTACATGGAGATGTGGTAATGTCTTGTATCCATGATAAAACAATCTCTACTATAGGAGCCAAGAGCAGAAGAGGACCACACAGAGCACATGGAGAAGAGCCTGACTGCTGGATAACCTTGCTGAGCAGCCAGTCCTGTCCCGGACTACCTACTGCAAACACTCTCTTCACTCAGCAGTGAGAGTTTTTGTGATTTAAGCCACTCTTAGTCAAGATGTTGTAACTCAAAGCCAAAACATTTTTTATTAATTCAGACTACCATGGGGCAGGCCCCTAATAGAACTCAGGCATCTCAGAACTAGATGGGACCATGACACTCAACCCTGTCCATTTCCCAGATGGTGAACCTGAGTCCAGACAGTTACCTGGTCTATCCCAATTCACACCTCAACATCACTTACAGATAGGACTTTTCCAGTCTCTCAGGCATCTGGCCCTACAACATGATGATAGGAAAAAGGATTCCAATTGCTATTGATTTCAATTGTCCTTTTTAATACTGCTAAGTTTTTTTCACTTATTAAAATAATATATTGTCATTGAAGAAGACCTGTCATGTATTAAAAAGCATACATTTAAAGAAATTTTTAAATTACTTATCTATAATTCCTATTAATTTTTAGTGTGTTTCTTTCCAGTTTTTGTAAATACACATGAATCTTTAATTTATGCTAAGGAAGAGTTCTGAATACTCTTGTGTTTGAGTTAATGAATACTTGCTATTGAAAAGTTCATTCAACTTACAGATTTATCTCTTTGTGCATGCAAACAGAAAAGTGGAACATAAACTGAGACTAACCTTCTCTCAGATTAAGGAAAATTAAAAAAAAAACTTTTCATTAATGTTAAAATCTCCCTTTGCCCTGGAGACTTGTGATTTTGCAGGGGACTTTAACAATCAGAGCAATGTGTTGTTAGTAAGGGAATTATTTTAGAGCAGTTGTTAACTTTGAGCATTGCAAAGGAGAACGAGAAGGGACAAGAAGAAATCAACTCCCCAAAATATATACCCAAACTCAAGATAAATTAAATCAAAAGAAGTATGTCTTAAAATCAGTTGCCTGAGATGGGCACAGTGGTGTACAATCATAATCCCAGTGGCCCAGGAGGCTGAAGCAGGAGAAGGATTGCAAATTAAAGCCAGCCTCGACAAAAGCAAGATACTAAGCAACTCAGTGAGACCCTGTCTCTAAATAAAATATTTAAAAAGGGCCAGGGATGTGGCTCAGTGGTTAAATGTCCCTAGGTTCATTCCCTGGTACAAAAAAAAAAATCAGTTGCCAGAATTTTTGATTTTTTGGCAAATAAGTGGTTTGATATAAATGTATTTACTGTTCATGCTATCGAGGACAAGTCAATCTGGCAGATAAATCAACTAGAATTTACTTTTTAAAATCTTTGGGTTGTACTTGTTTTTCTGTGTAGTTTAAATCTAGAGTAAACACAACACAGCTGTTATTATTTTACATGTTCTTTTTCAAGGACCTTCTCTCTTTTTATAATATCAGACATAAAAATTTGCACTAAATTTGAAGCTGATTTCTTAACATCAAAGTAAAAGTAAATGCTAAAAATTATTCAACTTTCTAGAGCAAATTTTTTGCTTCAAGGAACCTTTATTTCTTCTTTCTTTCTTTTACAACTTCTGTGCTCTCCTCTCAAGTTGAAATCTCCTTGTAAATTGTAGAAGTCCCACATGAGGGCCTGTTGCCATCACTCTGCAAATGAACACCAAGTATTTGTTCTGTGGAAGGTTAGGACGTAAATACTGAAAAGTCTAGGACACAGTTCCTAAACTTAGAGAACTGGCTCAAGAGATGCACCATCAAAAAACTGCGATAATAATTTTAAACCCTAAGTTCATTTATTTTCTTTTCTATACTTCCTATATGTACCTTTGGTTTTGTAAGAGGTGATAAGGCATTTAAACTATGCATCTGATAGTGAACTTGAGGATTTTTGATTAGTGGGAGCTCTGCCCTACTCAGTACTTAACTACAGGTTTGATCAGAAACAAACCAACAGCACAGGTCTGTGACAAAGTTTCTTCTGACTACTTTCAAAGCATGGTTTGGTTGTTATATTAAATGTGTGAACCAGGAAATCAAGAGATGCAACTCTGTTACTCTTGAGCTTATGGGTTCCCCTTAGGCTTGGCCAAGTACCATAAACAACTGAGAAACTTTTTTTATTATTACTTTTTTCAAGGGAATTACAGGAATCCAAAGATTTTAGAGTGATTGCTTTCCCTTACCTTAACACAGTCCCTCAGAAACATAACTTCACATTTCCCTTGCTTATATTGATTTCTCAGGAGCCTAACATCTCAATGTAGGACTCACTGACGAATATCGGTACATAATTATTATTTTCCCTTGACCTTTCCTACAAAAACTCTTGTAGTAGTAATGGAGGTGGTCCTCATTGTAAAAGATGATGTTGAGACAAGACCAAGCATGGGAGGAGAGGCAGCACTCTACTTGGAATAGTTTTCTGGAAATTTACTGAGACAACACACTGTGGGTAATACTATAGGCTTGATTCCTTTCCTCCTATTATTCCTGCCCCCAACCCTCACCAACACACACACACACACACACACACACACACACACA